GGATGCTGTACTTCCACAACGAATCGGTATCCATCCCCGACATTCCCATACCAACTTGAAACAAGGTGATGTTGAGGAGATTCCTTACGAGCCCTCACTTTTAGTGACCTGGCATATCAAGATATATTGTGCTCAAACAAATTGCAAAAGCGTAAACATGCAGGTGCCATGTTCGAAGAAGTCATATGGCATCTGCATGCATCTGCCAGAAAGCTGTCTAGTCACCACGCTCTTCCGACTTGCCAAGACAAATTGCAGAAACTTGTTCTGGCAAATATTGACACAGCAGGAACCAGAAACAGATCCCCCTGCAACACGGTGCACAGATCTCTTGTAGCGCATGGTATAGGGGCCCATCGTACTCATTTCTGGAGTTTGGGCCCGGGGGTCCGACGCGCAAGATATATCAAGATGCATTGTGCTCAAACAAATTGCGAAAGCGTCAACATGCGGGCGGAATTTAAAAAAAGAACGTTGTGGGGAAGTGGTTCCAATTCACCTAGACCTCCTTTCCCTGGTCCTCCAACTGCCGAGATCGCTGCTCCTCCTACACAGGTTCAAATGACCATAGAGGCGCCCCGAACATAACCGGCAACTGGCCGTCTTTGGGTCGACAACGCCAAAAATGTTGGTCATGGCTTAAATGGTCCAGTGATAAACCATGATTTTCCTATGATAAACCATGATTTTTCTGTGATATAAATGATAAACAAATATTTTCCTATGATAAACCATGGTTTTTCCTGTGATAAACAATTATTTTCCTATGATAAACCATGGTTTTCCTGTGACAAACAATTATTTTCCTATGATAAACCATGATTTTCCTGCGATAAACAATTATTTTCCTATGATAAACCATGATTTTCCTGTGATAAACAATTATTTTCCTATTACTATGATAAACCATCATTTCCCCGTGATTAACCATCCCAAAACCCAACTTTGGCCCAAAGCCATCTGGCTGCCTGTTCCAACTGCATCTTACGACGACTTTGACGTTCTTCCAGCAGCTGTCGCGCCTGGGGTGCGAACCCATCTCATGTTGCGATGTCTTCATGGTCAAGCTGCATCACTTGACACATGACACAGTCACCTCTTCTTCCCTTGCAGCTTGTTCTTCTGCTTCTCTCGCCTGTCACGGCTGGGTATGTCTGAAAATAGGCTTTCCATTATGTATGAATATATGAATATATATATATATATATACATATCTATATATATATATGTATGTGTATATTATATATATGCGGATTTCCCACCAGTCACCGAATGATCACAAGACCACACTGGAAAGGAAATAAGATCAACCTCTAAAAACTCTGGGCGCACTCACGAGCAGGCGCGTAGCTTTTGGACAGCGCTGCTAGAGTTCTGGCCACCACAAAAAGGGGGGCAACAATCCACTTGATCCGTACTGTCACGAAGTACAGGAATCAGATCTGCCATGAGCAAAGTCTTCAAATTATCACGGCTCAAAAATTCTTTCTTGCTCACATGGCAGTGGATTCGAGAGCATAGACACAGTGCAACCAATATGAGTGATCAGCATTCTGACTCACCATCTTCATCGCTCTTTTCTTCCGGGCAGACTGGAAATCCGGATCATACACGATTCGCCATTCTCCTTTTCCCAAAGCTTTGATAAGGGGCTCATGTCTCCAAGGTTTAGTCAAACCATCCGCAAGTTCTTGATCCCCATCGACCCATTTCAAATTAACATTAGCCTGTTTCAACCTTTCTTTAATAGCCAGTAATTCAATAGCAGTACGTTTTTCTTCCATATGTAAACCAGAAGTCTCAACACGAACAATTCCATCAAAAATGTTACGAGCATCACAAACCAAACACGAAAGAAACGAAGAAAGGTAATCATCAGCCCTACGAAGATCCAACCTTTCAGAATGGTCCATGTCCCAGAAACCCAGTTTATTGAACTCATGAATGTCCAACGCATTAGCACTCATTTGGGCTTCAGCACTAGTTGAAGACCTAGCCACCCGTCGCAAACGTCGGCTTGTCCAACTCAACACACAAAAAGGTGTTCGGTGTCCCTTCAAAACATTCTTTTCCATCAAAAGGGTAATCTGACCTCCTTGAGATGACCCGTCTTTTCTGGTAGCCCATGAGGCATCGGTGAAAGTCACAAGAGTCACTTCGCCCATTAAAGGAGGAAAATAAAGCCCTTGATCAAAACGTTTTCTTTGAAGTCTGACAAGTTTGTTTACTGACACCAAGTCACCAACTGTAGCACTCTCGACAGTCCCTTGAAGAATTGAGACAGTAGCCAGCAACCAAGGAGCTGTCTGTGTTGCGCGCCAATTAAGAGCACCTAGTGCCTGTCTCATACTTCTGCGTTCACCATGTGTGATCTCATCAAAACTGTTTTCTCGACGTTCAGTGGTCATAGGTATCTCTTCAATACCAAGTGCAAATCGCTCCTGCTTGACATGGATACCAAAATCATCATTTTGGGTGATTTCACAACCACAATAAGTAAGGGAACCCTCCTGTGCACAAGACCATGAACCAAAAAGATATTTTTCACGTAAACGATTAATAGCAGCAGTGAACTCAGAACCAACCCCGGCACAAAGAACATCATCGACATGAATCCCAAGATAACCAGAAATCTCATTGTTTTCATCAATACGCTTAAATAAACATTTGTCAAGAGAATGAACAATCCAACCATCGTCAATGAGGAAACGACTCAGGGAATCATACCATCTTTTGGGGGCATTCAACAAACCATAAATGGCTTTGATGATTCGAATGATTTCATGATCCTTCATACCCAGCATCTGACGAACTTCCGGTGGAGGATATCCATACAATTCATCCTGGGATTCCGTGGCATCACCTTGCAAGAAAGCTGTGCGGATATCTCCTGAACTGAGACGCATGCGACTTCGCGCCGCGCAAGCTAGGAGAAGGTTTCTACCCAAGGAACTCGGAGTTGGTGATTCACGTGGTAAAGTGGTCAAACGAGGATCCTGAAAACCCTTGATAATAAGCCGAGCCTTGGCCTTTTTCTGTTCACCACCAGTTTTCTCATCAGAACCTCCACTCTTCCACGTTAGGACCCAACGCATCTGCATGATACGATCAGCTGGAACTCCATGGGAAGTGCAAATGGCAATGGCTTCACTAGAAAGGAAAGAATCAAGTTCTTTACGCATAGCCTGATCAAACAGTTTCTGATCCTCTTGGCTAAGTTTTCGATAGGTAACTTCAGCACCTTTCTTAGCCTTGGCATTCACAACCCAATTTTCACCCTTCCGGTGGACATCCCGAGGCGCAAGAGCAAGTTCCATTTCTACCACAGTCAAATGATCAACATAATGAACAAAGCGATCCATCAACTTTTCACAAGGAGTATCACTCTGAACATGATCATCAACAAACCAGGTAAACAAATCACTAGATTCCATACCATGTTCTACCATGCGACTCAGGCGCGGAATAGGGGATCTGCTTCTTCCACTGGCTCTCAGGTGTCCCTCAGGCCTGCCTGCTTCTGGATGAACTGGAGAATCTGACCCATGGTCTCCTCGATGCGAGCCATGCGGTAATGGATTGCTTCGTTCCCCTGACGAAGATCCACCAACTCCTCTTCCAGAATCTCCACCTTGCTCCACTGAGACGTTGTCGTCATCTCTTCCTCGTCCGTCCTGATGTTCAGGTCTTTCGAGAGAGGTGGAAGGCTTCCTTTTTCTGGATTCTCCGATGGAATTGGTTCGGTCTGATACACTTCGGCTTCCAGACGCCGACGCAGGTATGCTGCGTACTGCTTCATGGAGGCTCCGTGATTGCCCTTCTCGGTGATGTGACTGGCTACCCACTTGTTGTAGCCCTTGTCCTTGTAGATCTCGGCGAAGGTGTGGCCCCGGTGGACCTTCCCATCCTGGAGGGTCATCAGGCCCATTTCCGCCAGAGTCATCGTTTCGAAGGCTCCCTGCTTCTCGATTGCGTCCTTGGTCTCTTTCATATTCAAAAGGTCCTTGAGGTCTGTCTTCGCCATGGTCAATTGGATCACCGATGTGTTCCTGATCTTGGCACTTTTCCTTCCTAAGTTCCTTGAGAGGGCGCTTGCCCCACGCACGGAGATGAGGTTTGAATTCTTCTGGTGTTGCATCATAGGGCATGAAAGTCAGATCATCTTGGCTGATATCCAAATATTTTTGCTGTTGGGAAATTTGTTCCAACAGAGTATGGAAGTTTTGGGGTCCATTAATTTCACGATCCGCTTGTCTCAAGTCAAAAGTCACATGTCTCAGCTGCTCCGGAGAACATCGTATGATCCTACCAGCATGGGCAATCCAAACAACAGATCCCGCGTGTTGACTGTCATCATAGGAACTGGTTTTCTCATGAGCAAGGACTCTTGCGGGACCATGCCAAACACCCCCAAAACGATTGTTGGGACCCCGACCCTTGGAAGGTTGAACACGATAATAGTAAACCAAATCACCAACCGTGAACTCACGCAAGGGTCGACTACGTGTGTGCAGTGCCTTGTTGAAACGGCGTTTGGCATCAACCTCCAAAAACAGCCTTTTTGCCTTTTCTTCATTTGCAACATTTTCTTCAAAAGTCCAGTCCTCTCTGGCCGTCATCAAGGGAAGGTTTTCATACTGTTGAAGGAAAGAACCAATACGTGAATGATTTTGACCAAAAGCCCACTGATTTGGTGAGTACCCACGAACATTGTGCATGTTATTTTTGGCGTTCAAACAAACACTCAAAATTTCTTGGGTGGTCATTCCAGTTCCCACATCCATGGCCAAAAGGTTCATCTGTTCTTTGAGTGTATGCAAGTGCCTACTGTGCTTTCCCAACTGCCATGCGCTCTCCCCTGCCACCGGTTCAAGCTTCATTCCGAATTTTTCCAGCCAAGCGACAGTGTCAAGGTTTTTCAGGAAACCCTCTTCATCATATCGAAGTAGCGCTGGTGCTGGAAACATCTGAAGCCAACCCTGTGAAAAAGCCTTTTTGAAATCCTCCCCACTGATGTTTCGAAGGGGTTGTTCACTACCAGATTTCACCAAAATGGCCGTATGGTAATCCGTGGCTTCATCCATCATACTCAAACCAACCACGTACTCAGGCTTCTCACCAGGCTGAAGAGCTTCTTTGGGGGTTTTCCACCAAAAAGTATCAATGCTCACACAAAACCATTTTTGGGTGATTTTGGGAACAACACTGGGTCGAGTCGGACTTCGCCGACCCCGTTGCAAACATTCAGGACAACTGAAATTCTGGGCTTCCTTCAAAATTGCCTCAGAAGCTCCCGCATCCCTAAGAAGACGAGTGAAAGCCTCATTTCCGGGGTGTCCCATATTTCGATGAACATTACGCAACATCTGTTTGATCCGAGCAACGTTCTCTTCGGGATTCTCGTCTGAATGTGGATCAATCTCGACCCTCTGCGGTCTTTCAAGGGCGTCATCTGGTTGATTCTCAACCCCCATGTCATGTGGTTCTTCATGGTCATCCAAAGAATCCCCAGCACCTTCACCCAAAACGTCTTCGGGATTGGGGGCTTCCCCTTCATTGGCAAAGACACCAGAAACATCATGTTCATGAACAAAACCAACCTCATGTTGATCACCAGAAAACCGTTGTTGTTCCAGAATACTAAAAACAGGAAACAGATAAACCGAATCTTTCATGAGAGCTTTGGCAAAACGTTTACACAAAAGGGGTGGATATATGGCCGTGGATGACGTGATGCTCCCCTGAATCAAGTCATGGGTACCCTTTGCATGGTTACAAGTCATGGAAAGAGCCGAGCGAACACCTTCGTGAGTAGAAAACCAACCCCATGGTTTCTTGATCAGACGTCCGGTTTTCTTACTCTTCATGCCATGTCTACAACCATGAACACTGAAACGCTCACCACACATACGAACCATGGCTTTCATGTCAGGTGTGTTCCAACTCTGTGCATGCAAAGGGTGTTCCCCGCCGGCATGGTGAAATTCCGGGTCCTCTGGTGTCCAGCCACACGCACCATTGAGCTCATATAATTGGACTTCAACAAGTCTTCGACAATGCCTGAGTAACTTGCGGCTTTCCTTTCGGCGGACACCTAAGTTGGAAATCTGGGCCTCAGTCCGTTGATTACAATTCTGAAAGGCGGACCATGGATCACATGGAGGAGACACATGAAGATATCTAGGTTTGGTTCTTCTGAGGAGTTTCAAGGCCTTTCGAAAACCAGCAACAGTCTTCAAATCAAAACCGTTATGCAAACCAATGGACAAAGATCTTCCCCCATTGTCAGCCACAGCCTGACTCAACGGACTATCCCAGGGAGCACAAATTTCCAACATGTCAAGTTGACCAAGGCCAACAAGTTCCCGAAAATCACCAACAGCATGGATCAGGGAGGTTTCGACGTCACGATAATGATCCCGTTCACCAGGCCCAAAATTGAGGAGTTCAGAATCCGGTTCGTCAACACACGCACCACCAACACAAACAGAATCGCTACAAACACTACCATCACAAACCAAAACTTCACTGGTTGCACAAGCTGATGCTCCACAAAAATTCACACTCTTTGAATTTCCACTCAAGCCTATCATGTCAGTTCCCAAACTGTCATGTCCATTTGAGGCTTGGTGGTGCTGTCCCTACGAATCTGGGGTCGCGCCCCCCTGTACAGTGGCCACGTGGCCCGCAGATGTCTCGGCGCTAAGAGTATTCACGGATGGATCTGGCTCACACTGCAAGTCACTGATCTCCTTCTGCATGCCACCAAAGTGAGTGATGGGTACCATCAAATGGTTCCCAGGTCCACGCTCCAGCTGAAAATGCTGATCCGACAGAGCAGCAAACTGGGCAACTCCCGTGTGGAAGTTAATGGTCGCACGCATCTCATAGAGGAACTTGGCACTCAAGAGAAAGGGTGTGCTGCCCTCAATCATGTGAGTCTCGATGTTGACTTCATGTCCCAGCAAGCCAGTATTCATCTTGGACAGTCCCAAGGCCGAACTGGAGTGATCACTGCCATAGACGAACTGCTTGCGCATCGATCGATCAATGCTCACCTCATCTTCAAAGTTCAAACCAAGCTTCTCATACACATCTACCAGTTCTTGCATAGTGTGGACACCGATCACATTGTCAGAGGCGCCAGAGTCAATCACTGCCTTTCCACGATGGAAGCTGTTTCCTTCGCCAGTAGACCATACCTGGCTCATCTCTGGAGTGCACATGTTCTCCTTGGGCTCATTCTCTGCAACAGCCATCTTCGCAGGCTGTGTCATCCCAACAAAGCCGACCTTGCCACCACTGCCACTCGATCCCGCAGCCGATTGTTCTGCTCGACCACGTTGATAGCAGTTCTTGGCTTCATGGCCTCTCTTGCCACATCGAACACAGATTTTGCTAGTGTTCGAGCCATCTTTGGATTTTCCTTTTCCACGACCTTTGTTTCCTGAAAAGGTCCTGTTGCGGTTGTTGGGATTGGAAACTGGATAGAAGCCCCGGGCCACCTTGGCCTGATCCAAGGCACGACGGGCATCACGAAAGGATGCCAGGACCTCAGGATCATTGGGCTCTTCCAAGAATGCCGTCAGGCTCTCTTGGTACCAGCTGCTCAGCTCTTCCATCTCTGCAGTGTCATAGGACTCCTCTTCCTCATCAAGCTCATAGGAGTTTGAAGCTTCTTCATAGGACTTGTCATCCTCAAGAAGGAGTGCATGGCCTGTTTCTCGTCGACGCTTCTTCAGGTCTTGGTCCTTGGCAGCTAAACCACCACCACTCCACATCTTGTGAAGGGCGGCTGTGATGTCCTTCAACTTGTACGATTCAGCTTTGCCCCTGACATTGGCCACGTCACTCGGGTCCATGCGCATATACATGTTCAAAAGATACCATCCAAAAACTTCACTGGGGATCTTCCCATCTGCACCAGATTCAGCTAAGGTGGTCTCAAGGCGACGAAGCAACTGTCTGAACCTAGGTTCATACTCTGACAGTTCCTCTCCGTCCTTGCGGAAAACCTCTTTCTTCAGGAAGAAGTCAGCAAAGACATCACCGAGTAGATCAATCTTCTCCTTGCCCTGTGTTCCTTCCAAAAAGGTCAGAAGAAACTTCCAGCCATCTTGTTGCCTAAGTTTCTCCTTGTCAATGTCGATGATGGAATCAAAAGCCCGGCCAACCAGATTGCCAGCGAGCCGAGGGCCCAGCAAGGCTCGTTCATCTTCTTTCAAACTGTCTGCGCGAAGCTCCACTCTCAACTTGTACTCAGTCCAGCGACTCCATTCGCCATTCCATGATGGAAACTTGTGGTCGATGGTCTCTTCTGAGTATTTCGCCGATGCCGAACTCTGCGAAGCCATCTACGGATGCCCGTGATTGGGCTCCGCTACCATGCGGATTTCCCACCAGTCACCGAATGATCACAAGACCACACTGGAAAGGAAATAAGATCAACCTCTAAAAACCCTGGGCACACTCACGAGCAGGCGCGTAGCTTTTGGACAGCGCTGCTAGAGTTCTGGCCACCACAAAAAGGGGGGCAACAATCCACTTGATCCGTACTGTCACGAAGTACAGGAATCAGATCTGCCATGAGCAAAGTCTTCAAATTATCATATATATATATACCCCATGTTTAAAAAGTATAAAATCCCATGAAATCCAATGGTTTATCACCAGCCTCGCGCTCGCGGTGCTCTTGGAGCTGGCGCTCCAGCTGTTCCTTTGCTGTGCCAAAGTGGGCCGGAAGTATTGCACACTGCGCGGAAGCCGCGAGACTCTCATGGTTCGTTACAGTAATCCCCCATTGATGGTTCAGTGATTGTTCATTCATGGTTCACTTGTTGTTGATCTATACTATCTCCATGTTGATTGGCAAATGTCCCGTCCTCATTTCATTGCTGTCATGTTCATCCTACATCATGGCAGTGCAATTCTGATCCCTAACATAGATCTGATTGATATAGGTTTGTCCCGTCATTCATCATGTTCCCCATGAAATTGCCATTGGGGCATAGTTCCACTACGTGCACCATGCGCACCTGCAAACTCCTCTCAAAGGCTTCCTGTTTCTCCCTGCGCTCCTGTCAGCAGCGGGATATCCCCAGTTCGACTATAATCAGCTGGCTGGTGGTATACCTACCCCTCTGAAAAATGATGGAGTTCGTCAGTTGGGATGACATTCCCAGCTGAATGGAAAGTCATAATCCAGTTATGTTCCAAACCACCAACCAGTCAGGTGACATCCCCAGGTCCTCGCCTGGGTTTCCTTCTGCTCCAGGCGCAGGCGCTGCTCCTCTGCCCAGCTCACCTCCTCCAGCGCAGCGATCTTCCGGCGCAGCTCCTCGGGGAAAATGGCCATCTTTTAGGGCGAAAAATCATCATTAACTGATTAAGTTCACTAGATTTTGGGAGATCTTAGGTTTTCCAAAAAACATGCTTGTTGGGGATAATGAGGACATGACCAAGAAAATTCTGGGGGAATCCACAAGACTTGTGTAGTAATTGGAGTGCTCTATTTGTTTCCATCCAGGTGAACCAATTAGGGTATGGTACGCCCCGAAGAAGAGATAGAACATGTTATCAAAGGAAGTTTAGGGGGAGAAACTTCCGTGTTACGGACTTTTAGAATGTCAGGGAAAGAGTTAGTCAAAGAAAGAGTTAGTCAAAGAAACA